CCGCTGCATCGTTCTTCTACAAAGTGACTCACACACCATCTCAGGGAGGAGGATACAACACCTCCAACACCAGCCACACACTTGACTCCTTGCTTCCTGGGACGTCCTACAACATCTCCATCGCCACTGTGGGTCCCAGGGGCTTTGAGAGCGAGAAGGTTCACATCTATTGGGTTACTACAAGTAAGTTTGATTTCTGTACCCAAGCACTGTCACCTTTACTGTCTGGAGTAACATCTCCCAAATATCTTTCACACAATCAGAACCGTTGCATGTGGAGTCTATCGTGGCTCGTATGACAGAAGAGGACAAAATCACAGTCGCATGGGAACCTGCTGATTACACGGGACGCTTTCATTACCGTTTCAACTGGAATAGCCGACATGGGCTCAAAAGTATCAAAACACAGGAAACAAATTATACGATGAACGACCTGGATCCTGGCAGCCAATATAACTTTAGTGTCACCCCAGAGATCTCTGACGAGAAACCGGGCAATACAACATGGAATTCCAGCTGCACAAGTATGGTCATAACTTTTTTTTTTACTGCAAACCGTTTTAAATAATTATGTATTTCATCAGTGCATGTATGGAAAATGTAAGAAGAAGGTTTGTTTGAGGTGTGACGATTGTTAGAAAGGGTTTCATTCTATTTTCAAGCTTATGTTGCTGGCAGTTTTCTTGAGGAAATGGAGAAGAAATCTCTGATGCAGAGATAGATTTTGTTAACATAGAATGATTATACTTTAATATAATTGTCTGTTTACTAGGAATTTCCCTAACATACACACATTTCTGTTTGGTGCTGCAGATGCAAGCCCAGTGAACAACTTAACATGTGAAGGTCCAAACAAACCAAATCCACAAATCATCCTGTCCTGGACCAAACCCAGGGGCCAGCACTCCGGTTTACTGGTCACTGTCGATGACAAGAGCTTCAACCTCTTGACAAATACCTCCTACAATTATACTGTGTTCTACCTTCGTCACTATACTAAATACCGGCTGACTGTGAAGACGCTGAGCTGTGGACAGTCCAGCTCTCCTGTGTATTGTGACAGCTGGACTGGCATTACAGGTAGGACGTTAAAAGTTCACTTTGACCTCACAGAACACATTTCTTGCCTTGTGAAAGCAACATCTCAGAAACACCCCAGGGGAATCCATTCACATTGATCTTACAGATGAGCTTGACCTCAATTTGGCAAAGGACAAGGTCACTGTCCTTGTGAACGCAAGTGTTCAGTAATATTCTGAGGGAATTTCTTCAAATTTGTCACAAACATTCGCTTGGACTCAAACATGAACTGATTTGATTCCAGGTGACGGTGGCCTCACAGAACCCCTTTTTCCTTATGAATGCATTATCTGAAGAACGCCTAAAGAGAATCGTTTAAATTTGCCCAAAATATTCACTTGTTTTGGCTTCTTGAACATGATGTCTAGAGTCTGTCTTTAGGGAATTTCTTAAAACTTAGACCAGTTGTCACGTGTACTCAAAATTACTGAGTACAGTTCAGAGGTCAAAGGTCAAAGATCACAGTGACCTCATATATATGAGTCTGGACAACATGTATGTAGACTGAAACTGATTGGAGCATGCATACAACAACAAGGTGGATATTCTATTTATGCCTGTTGTGAATTACCCTTTTTTTCTATTAGTGCTCAAAGATGTCCAGTCATTTCCTCTATAACTAGAATTACGATAAAATGATATGGTTAGCATAAATATTTAAAAAGATTTAATGTGATTATTTATTTTATTATTTTTAAAAGATCCTCCCATCGCACCCAACTTTATCGCAATGTTGGAAGTGACTGAGCAGGCACACAACAAGTTCTCCCTTCAGATCAACAGAGAGCTGCTGAATGACTCCAGAGGGCCAGTCACACATGTTGGGGTGCTGGTGACAAATAACCCTCCTGGTGGGTTCTCTTTTTTTTCTTTAATGTCAGGATATTTCATTTGAATGGCTTATGACATGAACTTTTAAAAACCAGTTTCTGTATTTGGTAATTTCTTCATTTCTGTCCTTTCAGATAATTACACTTCACATTTGAAGGAGTACGTGGGGAAAACTTATGATCAGTGGAGGGACGATAAAACTCCAGTGTACCTGGCAACAGTCAGAGAGACCAAACTCCAGTCACGCAGTGCTGGGAACTATCTGAGTATAACAGTAGGAGATGAAACTAAATGGGAGGGCTACAGTAATGGTGCTCTGGACGCCAATGGACAATACAGGTAAAAACTAAATAGGACACTGTGTACAATATCATAACTTCTTAATTATTGCTTTGGGATTTTTACATCAAAATGAAGGTTTGTTATATTCAAGCCTTTGTAAAATGATACAGTGCTGAATAAACAGCACATAAATCCATTATTACTATATATTATTATGCATCTGGTGTCTTTGGTGACATTAACCAGAAGCAATGCGTTACCCAGAAGTGATTGGTTTGCCAGAGGTCAAGAGGGAGCAACTGTATATGGAGATGAAAATCACTGCAGCAACTCAGAGCATGGTGAAAAGACAACTTAGGAAGTGTCAAAGGAAAGTTTGTGATGCTCCTAAGTAGGATGGCACTCAGTAGAGCATATACCTCCACCGCCCTTAGATCCAGATTTTTATTTGGAATTATTCACATTCATAGATCAGTCCCCTTAATATGTCAGATTTTTTTCATGAAGATCGGTGTTGTCCTGAGGCCTGCTGCAGTGGTTGCTGGTTCGGTTCGGACATGGCCTGTTGCTGCATTTTCCCCCACGGTCTCCCCATTTCCTGCCTAAACTGTGCTTGCAATAAAGCCAAAGAGAAAATGCCAGTGTTGAAGAAAGTGATACAAATTCCTCTGTCCTGGACTAATTGTATTGGGTCCTTCTTGGCTCGTGTCCAATCGTTCTAAGATTCTTCAAAATCTGTTCAGTAGTTTTTGAGTAATCGTGCTGACAAACAAACAAACGGACAGGGGTGACAACGTGTGTGTCATGTAACGTGTCGACAGTGTTTGTGTAACGGGGAGACAAAGACTCCAAGTTAACCAGCCCAATCTGGTTATTTGTGTTTTGTACAGATCAAGCAAATGATACAGCATAAGAGAGAAAAGAAAAAACACCCGAGTCAAAGTATCAGAAAGTTAAGATAAATGTTAAAGTTGGATTTTAAATTTCTTATCCTGCAGATATGCCATCGTGTTGTTCACCAGTCTGCCACTGCAGAATCGTCTTGTGGATTACAATGTGATGCTGGCCTCAATAACAGGCTTCTCCCCTGTTATTGAACTCCCACAAAACCCAGGTACAATCATACAACCTGGTTTCTGTGTTTTACTTTTTGATTCTCCATGAAACTGTCTTTTTCTCACATGAAGTTCTGTTGTCTCTCTGTAACCTTTGATTCCAGCTGTCATTAGCATTGCTGTCGGAGCAACACTGGGCATTTTTAGCGTTCTTTTCATCATCCTCATCGGCTTTATAATCTACTGGAAAAGGTTTGCAGTTGTCATCACTGATAGAAATCACTATTACGTCAGTGTGAATAGAACTCAATTCTAAACTCACTGTTTATGTCTGTAGGTTTTCCAGAAAAGACCCGTCAGACATCCAGATTCACTCCATGAGGTGAGGTTTTCATTGTTGCCAGTTTATTTCAAGTTTAAAGTAAATTGACAAAGAGTAGCAGCTGTCAGTCAATGTTGCTTTTTCCTCTTTCTTTTTCCAGAGCCAAAGTGTAAGTAAAAATCCTATAAATAACTAAAGTGATCATATCTATCAAGTGTCACACACTGCGACTGGAACAGACTGAACTGTACTGAAGTGGTTAACGGAACATTTCTCCCTTTATCTCTGGTGCCTGTTTGAGCAGGAGTGTGCCTGTGAGGGTGGAGGACTACGAGGCGTACTACAAGAAGCAGAAAGCAGACTCCAACTATGGCTTCGCTGAAGAGTTAGAGGTGAAACACGATCTCAGTATTTCAGGGCTCCTGATATATACAGCTATTCAAAGCAGACAAAAACATTTTTAGTCTTCATTGATATCAGTATCAAAATAATGTTCAGGATTTCTTTTTTTCCTGTTAGTTGATTTGGAACCCTTTTATAGCCTTAAAATGCACACACAACAAATACACAATACAGAAACCAGCTGCAAAGAAAACAGAAATAAAGAGGAACAGGAAACAAAAACAAGGCCACCAGATTTTGAGTCTTGCATCCATCCAATCAGTCATTCCTCCCTTTCTTTCTAAAGGACCTGAAGGTAGTTGGTACAGGTCAGGCGAGGACGAGCGCTCTGACCTTAGAGAACAAGTCCAAGAACCGCTACACCAACGTGCTTCCATGTGAGTCACCTTAACAGCTCCACATCCTCTGCTTTCCACAGTAACACTGCTTAAACCATCGTCTGTCATACGTGTATCTTCTGCCATAATCCTAATTTTGTTTGGACATCTGATGTCTGGTATACATCTTGTAGTTCAGTGACGGTTTACACGGAAATACACTGAAATAATTCCATTGATTTCCATTCATTACCCTCTTTTGTCACCTCCTAGACGACTTTTCAAGGGTGAAACTCTCTATCATCCATGGAAGCCCATACGATGACTACATCAATGCTAGCTACATGCCGGTGCGTACTGACACTCTCTGCTTCAGTCATCGCTTCAGAATATAACAACATAACTGCTCATTCTTTTGCTTCATGCCGTGATGTTCAAACTATTCCACCTTCGTCCACATTGAATCTCAGAGAAGTATTAAATGGGACGGGTGTGTCGGGTTCTGTGGTGATGTTTTTATTCGGCAGGGTTACAACTCCAGGAAGGAGTTTATTGCAGCTCAGGGTCCTTTGCCCATCACAGTCAACGAGTTCTGGAGGATGATATGGGAGAAGAATGCACAGACTCTTGTCATGCTGACACGCTGTAACGAACAGGGACGAGTGAGTACAAACTTAGACCTACATAACAGTGCCCTTAAATTCAATCAAGCTGCACACAATTGCACACACATAGAAATCAACCTAAATATGCCGGATTTCTGTCATCAAGATCAATGATTTATTCCCTGGGAAATTGGTGAAAGTCTTATAAAAACGCCCTCTCAAAGTTAAAGAAAGTGATTTAAAAATTTGCACGAAACTTTAATTGGTTCTTCCCTGTCCCACACCACTTCCTTCTGTCAGGTTTCAAGGTAATCAGTCCAGTCATTTTTGCATATTCTTGCTTACAAACAAACCCAAAAAATCTCCTTGAAAACAAAGTCTCCAGATAAGTGACGGTTTTCTCCTTACAGGTGAAATGTGAGCAGTACTGGGGTTATGGCACCAAGCACTTTGAAAACATCACTGTGACAACAACCTCTGACATACCACTGGAAGACTGGACCATCAGGGAGTTTGATGTTAAAAATGTAAGTGTAAAAATCCTCAAGGTGCAGCAGCAACAGCCATCACCCACCAGTGCTTATTCAGGGTCTGTTTTGAGTTTGTGTTGTTTGTTCTTCAGTTGAAAACTGCAGAAACGCGCTCTGTGCGTCAGTTCCACTTCACGGCCTGGCCGGATCACGGGGTCCCACAAACCACTGAGCTCCTCATCAACTTCAGACATCTGGTCAGAGAGCATATGGACCAGTACTCCAGACACTCTCCTACTGTGGTCCACTGCAGGTCTGACTGAACACACACACACACACACCTTCAAACCTATGTAAATGTCTTGAATGAATCTGATGTTCTGTTCCTCTCTCGTGTTGTCTACCTCGTCTGCTCTCAGTGCTGGTGTTGGTCGTACAGGTACCTTCATAGCCATTGACCGTATGATCTTCCAGATTGAAAGGGATAATAGCGTGGACGTTTATGGCATCGTCCATGATCAGCGCATGCACCGGCCCCTTATGGTGCAGACCGAGGTAGGACACGATCATATTCACTGTGGTTTGGATTGCATGTGTCTTCTTATGCATGTTTGTTGAAATGATCCATGTGCTTTGTGCTTGTTGTTCCTGCAGGATCAGTATGTGTTCTTACACCAGTGCGCCATGGACATCATCAGGTCAAGAACTGGAAACAATGTAGATCTGATCTACCAAAACCTCGCTGCGCTCTCTATTTACGAGAACATAAAACCCAAAAAAGGTCACAAAAACTGCGATGCATGAGCGAGAGAAGCTGCTCAGGCCTCTCTTTATTTTCTTAACAAAGATCTGAGCAGACATTTGTAAAGTGAAGGCTTTAAATAGATTGAGCTGTATTTATTTTTATACCCGTGTCATTCTTGATCAGGAACTTTTCTCGATTTAAATGTTTTTTTTCTGGTATTTATTTGTTAAAAAATGTCGAATGTCTGACAATTAGGAAGAATGTTTATTGAAATTTTTGATGGTGTACAGTCACATAATTCAAACATTTTTCAGACTGTATGTAAACATCTGTTTTGGATTAGTTTGTAAGTGATTTATTTTTTCTGCTTGCTTACTACTGTATATGACTTACTGTTGATTACATTTTCAGCTCAGGTTAATCGTTGTATACTTGTAAAGGCATTTTACATTCATGTTTGACATAAGAAAAACTTAATTGAACCTTTAAAATGTCCTTGTGAAAAAGACTGTTGACATGAACTTGTCATAGGAAACTATGTTTTCTGTATCATATTTTTGAAAAGTTGGTCAGATTGTTTTTGCAACTCTTTTACCAATTTAAACTGTGCAATGTCTTTAAATGAAGTTGTGTTGGAGAATACGTTGTATTTGTACGCCCTGTAGTAAATGCACTGGATGCATTGGATTTTCTATACTTTCCACATTTTCACGTATGTAAGATTTTTTGGTCGTCAGTATCTTTGATTATATTTTTGCCTGTGCTTTGTGACTGTTTTGAACATTTTGCTGTTTATCCTGCATCTGACATCATTATTTAAGATTATGGGTCACATCATTAAACAAAAGCTCAGGAACTCAAACAATGAAAAATGACATTTTATTGGTTAATGTGCTGTTTAAAAAAATCCACCCTGCACAAGTGTGTGCTTTGCATAGTTTTTCCTAAGAGAAACAACAGGCATCACTTCCTGCTGCATATCTGCTCTATCAAGGGACACTTCCTGTGATGTTGAAACTGGTTTATTTTTTTACCTTCTAAATGGCAGAAGTTTCCACAAGGCATGGTTTGTTTTTTTTAAGATAAATCCTGTGCAGTTACGCAGCAGATTATTTTAAAACTACCTTATAGGTTGATAGCACATTCTGATTAAAAAACAAGAGTAGCAAATAGTTGTTTTAGAGATGCTTTATGAGATGCTTGCTGGTACAATGCAAAAATAAATAAATTAGTAAGGTTTAAATATGTGTATATTGTTTAATTTGTCGAATAAAATGGCATTAAAAGATGTGACTGCATTTTTCCTTAACATATGTTCATGTGTGTGGTTTGAACTTGGTAAGTTTGGTATCGATCTCCTCTGAAGAACTCACTACAATATAAATGCTTTAAATGTAATAACATAATTTTTACTCTCGTCATTTGCTCTAAGTTGATGTCACAGAATACAGACAGTTATTGTTCTGGATAAAATTGTACAAGAAGATGATTCTGCCACGAAGAGGGTTATGTTTTCACCCCTGTCCATTTGTTTGTCAGATGAATTAATTAATCCTGACAGAAAAAAAACAGGACTCACAAACATGTGTGCAATTTGATGCAGCTTGTTTAAATGTAAGAAAACTATCGGACCTTGGCGGTTGCATGTCCTCTCGTGAGAGACATTCTAGTTGAAAACCTGTCACAGAGGCTCTGTAACAGCTGTATTTGACATTACACAACTGATGAGTTCATTCTGCAGATTGTTTCTGAATTGTTTCATTCAAACGGAAATATCAGATGCATTCTGTGCTGCGTGCCGCAGAGGAAGATTGAGAGGTGGTGCGCTTCTGCATTATTCAGAGCTCCATAAAGTTTGCAGGTAGCTAAGTGCACCCCCAGAGGATGAATAAATGATACCATTTCTGTTTTTTTTTTATTTCATGAGAAACAGACACAGAGCGTCTTACACATATTTCAAAAGGTCCTTGTTCTACAGCTCTTCCCTCCCATCAGACCTACACTTTGAACAATATGATGGTGTTTTAACAGCAGTCATTGTCACACGGTGCAGCAGATGATCCTCACGAGGAGGTAAAATGAGATTTGTCAACATGTTGTTTTCATTAAATCTGATGTTTCCCACATGCTCCCCCCTTTTCCCCATTTCTTGAACGCCCCCCCCCCCCTCCCCCCACTCCTCCTCCTCATCCTTGCTTCATGTCTGTGATCCACAAGTTGAATCTAAAATAGATTTGGCATTTGACCGTCTCTGTCTCGTTTCCTGTGCCGTGATGTGCAATGGAAAAATACGCTGAGAGCTGAGGCCATTATGATGGCAACCAAACCTGCAAGTGGAAAATTGAAATAGGACAAGTGAAAGTAAATGTGCCTGTAAATCCATGGTAATGAATTCGCTTCTGATTGAAGTGGTAATTGTTTTTGAGCAGTTTTTATTGAGCCTGAATCAACACTGATACATTTAAAACATTAAAATAATTATCCAGAAGTTCAAATGAACTTCTTTACACATTTCCTAATCTCAAAATGGAAACAAAAAAAGTTTTTTGTGAAATCCAAATGTTGCCACCGACAGTAACTTACAACATCAAAAAAGGAACCATAGAATATCAAATATGTCAAAAGACGAAATATTGCAAATCAAACCGTGAGTTCAGTGAAATCTCAGCAACACTTAACTTGTGGAACATTAATTTCTCATGATTTCATTGATGATGGATTCACCTTTAATTAACATCTGTCCTGTATATAATACACCTAAAGTAGTAAATTAAACAAGGATTCAAAACTCACCTGAACATCTGAGTTCAGTCAGTGAAAGATGTAGAAAATTGTGTTCTGCCAGTTTGTGCTCCCTCAGTTAAATTATTAAAACTTTGCTCCTTTTTTCCAAAAGCTGCTGAGAGTTTCTGGGAAATGGGATCTTTTTTTCCCCTGCAGGTGAAGCTTTTGCAGTTTCCCTCCAAAAGTGACTTCCTGGTGTACTTCCTGATATACTTCCTGATTTCTTAAAATGTATCTTTATTGTCTAAATCCAGAGAAACTGAATTCATCACAGTGAAATAAAGCTTTATGTAAAATACAAGAATCTTCTTCTTCAACAATTGTTGTTCAGTCCTCATTGAGTTTAAAATCCTCATTGAGTTTAAAATCCTCAGTCGTGTCAGCAGGCTGTCAGCGTAGCCACACAACATTTATTACACGTTTCTTCAACGTAAAAACTTCAGTGAGTCTTTGTCAACATGTGAAGGCGCTGTAGAAACTCTTCTTTAATGTTGATTCAACTTCAACCACAAAGAAACTTTTCATGTTGAATTAACAAACATTTCTGTCTGTACACACTCTGTAAACGAACAAACAAGACACTAACACTTTCAGGGATAAACAACAAACTAATCAGTTCAAATCTTTCGGTTTCTCAGACTTTGAGCAGAGTGAACCCTCTTTAAGATATGAAACACCAGTGAAACATCCTCTCATACAAATGTCTCGAAAGAGAAGAAGGGAAGTGACTGCTGGACTCACTGAATGTTCTCAGGAGAGAAGAGTCTGAGATCAGCTGTTACTTTGGAGACAGAGCTGCTGCTGGACCAGATGCTGTGCGGCCATCTGTCCACAGGGAGGCGCCATCACGACTTCTACTTCCGTATTTAAAGGCGGATGGGCGGGATCACTGATTCACACATTAATTAAAAGGTGTTGGAGACTTTCTGTCTTTGATATTATTTTTTACAGTATTTATTATCCGTTTAATACTCACTCTGTGGAATTCAATGGCCAATGTACAAGGCATTGTACTGAATATATTCTGTTTCAATTTCTATTCTGTTTCTATTTTATACTTCCTTGCTGTTATACTGCATGTTTACTTATTTATTACTTTTACCAATGTCTATTTTTTTGACTATCTCTATTATTACTGCACCACAGCAAACCTCCACATTGTGAGATGAAGAAAGGATCATTTTATCTTTTCTCAGTAACAGTAATTGATTATCACAATCATTGTGTATGTTAACGTATATAATGGAGGTTGAATATGATCTATCTATCTATATATCTGTCTGTCTATCTATCTGTCTGTCTGTCTGTCTGTCTATATGTCTATCTATCTATCTGTCTGTCTGTCTGTCTGTCTGTCTATCTATCTATCTATCTATCTATCTATCTGTCTACAGCCTATATTCACATTGTTTATACAGTGTTTATAAGATAATGTCTGCAACTAAATATTATTTCAATTGTACATAGAACAATCGGAGAGACTCTTTAACGACTTGATGAATCAACTTTACACTGACCCATTTAAAAAAAGTCATAATTATGAGACGCTGCGTCACTATTTGTTTCATCATTGTCATCATGTTTCTCACTGCGATGATTTACAGGATCTTTATGGTTTTCATCGCAGTGGCAGTGACACGTGCTTCCTGGACGACACGGTCTGTGGTTGTGGGTCTCGGTGGTCGGTGTCTCGGTGTCTCGGTGGTCGGTGTCTCGGTGTCTCGGTGGTCGGTGTCTCCAGCGGTGAGGCGTCGTGCAGCAGCAGCGGCAGGTGCAGCGCGCTGCTGCGGCCACAGGTGTCGCCAGATCTCCCGGTGAGGCGTCCACAGAGGCAGGCAGCGGGCAGATGAGCCGCAGCAGCAGCAGCAGCAGCGGGAGGAACCAGCCAGTCCAACCTCCACACTCTCCATGTTGGAACACAGCAACTTCTCCTCCAGCCGACTCTGACCGTCCAGCGCTGCCCACTACTGCCCCGCCGGCTAACACTCCCGTGCTATGCCCGCTGGACCGGGGAGGACGCCCGGAAACAACCGCATGAGCGCCGCCGCCGCCGACACCGAGTGAGTAGAGTGATTTTCATCCGCTGTCCTCGCTCCGCCACCAGCCTCCTCCACCGAAACATAACTTGCTCTTATTATAGCTGCTTCAACTAAACTCTGCTTCGTGTGCTAACTCGCGCTAACTAGCTTGTGTGGCGTGGAGTTAAATAAAATAAAGGTGGAGGATGCGTGTTCTGTCGTATGGAAGACTTTGTGTGGACATGTTAACGACGTGCTGTTCAGAGGAATGTGTCCTCCCGTCGTAGTAACGTTATCTCCGTGTGTTAGCTGTCTGCCCCGGTTGGTGGCTAGCGGTTCTAGCTAGCTACATAAAGTAAAAGCCCCATCTCCACGTTAGCGGAGCGCGCCTGCGGCTGCAGCCGGGCTGTCACTTGTTTGCATGGCAACCACGAACCTAAACGACGCAGAGAAGCAAATACATTCATATATATATTCAGTCCGCTCCTGCCACGAGTGTACCGGCGAACCGATGTGGGGGGAAACGGACCGGCTACCTTTAAATAACGGCGCATGTGGTGGAGCAGCAATCACCACAAACATCGCTGTCAACGATGCAAATTAAACAACCTCCATTACTCTTGACGCTCAGTTGTTATATCAAGCAACGCACGACGATGTTACAAACTGTGAACACGTGCAACGGGAAGACACAACGCGTGAAAGGTGATTTACAGGAGAGAAGAGGTGGGCAGACGTTTAAAGGTCATATAGCATATGCGGTGCAGGCCAAGACATCTTGAGGTTCAACTCGTGTTGCTGGTTTGATGCCAAGGCTGCAACCTTTTGTCGTGCTCACCACCAGCCCCAGCATTAGGACCCTTCAACAGGCACCTCTCTCTCTGCAGAGACCTCCCTCCTTAGGGCACTAGGGGATGTTGAGGGTTGTTTGGATTGTAAGATTATACACTGGGTGTGTTTGTCAGAAATTCAGCTTCAAGAATTTCTTGATCATAAATCTGCTGGTTTTATGAACTTGATAGACAAACTGCCAATATTTGCTTGTAGCCGCGTCTGCGTCTGCGTATATATTTTAGCCAGGGAGAAGAAGAAATTGCAGTACATTAATACCTAATGAGTGGCAAATATTCCCAACACTAACAAATACTCACAGCTCAACCAAATCCTTACAGCATTACCAAATACTTGCAACACAACCAAATTCTTGCAACACAACCAAATACTTGCAACACAACTAAATACTCACAACACTACTTATACTCACATCACCACCAAATGCTCACAACAATTCTAAACACTGACAACACTACTGAATGCTCACAACACAACCTTCACTTCATCCGCCTCGGCCTATTCTCAGTGCAGACAAATATAGAAGAGCTCATCATCTTTAACAGTGTGGCATTGTGTTTGCCAGGCATGAGAGTAACACAGATAGTCAATAGTTAAAAAGACTTACTTGAATGTCTCACTCACAATACTGGAAAAAAAAAAAAAAAAAAACATCTAGAGAAAAGGCAATCCAAACACAAGAGGAAATGATTACCAGACTGCTGGAAGTGAAGTGTGAGGTGATATTTGGGAAATTGCTGCAGAGTGAGAAAAGATTGCAAAGTCCTAATTTGCTATTGCTTCAGCTGCTCTGTGATCTGTATGTACCTTTAGTCGACTAAGTCTTTCAAATTAGGTTATACGGAACAATAATGGGCTAATATCCAGTATTAGGATTCTCTGTCAGACTCACATTGGACAAAAATTGATCCGATATTGAATGACCGCAAACTGCCAGACTGCAAGTGGTGCCAATAGCACAGATAATAACATATTAGATGTTTGAAGGTCATCGATGCTGAGTGGCAATTGAAAGTAGGTCATGAGATCAATAACGACGGACACTACTTGCGTTTGCCTCTGGTTTTGATAAAGTCTGCTTCAAATAGTCAACACCTAATGTCCTCTGTTAGGAGGGACTCTTCAAGGTAATGTGTGTAACATTTAAAATACCCTGGTTACTAATGACACTACTAGTGAACAGTACTCAGCATCCTGTTGCTTGTGCATGTGCTTGAACTCTGCAAGTGAGCACCCGAGCAGTGCTGTGCCATACCTGAGACTCAATGTGATTGAGCAGTATTGTGTTGATTGATTAGGTAACTAAATATATATACATACAGTATTTTCTTGTTATAGTTGGAATACAAACAATATTGGACTATAGACGATGCAGATTACTCTAATGAGTTATGGAAAAGTGGTAAAATGAAATGTGGAGGTCTGACTATGTGAGACTAGTTTGATGGCGTTTATGTTGTGCTGGCAACTAGTTGTTTGTTGACAGTTTGCCAGACAGACACTAAGCCAAGGTAAGGAATGAAGATAAACCCTCATGTCATTTGGATTATCCCAAAAGAAATGTGGGGAAAGTTATGGTTTAAATTTCTTCACATTCTTACACACTCTACCTTAAATCCTCTGTAACCAAAACAAATAATCATATATATATATTATATATCGTACACATTTTTAATAATGATGGGAGGTTTTTAGTGGTGATGTGTCAACACCCACGCACGTCTGGTCTCGCCACGTGACAGTCTACCTTGGACTAATCAGGGGGGGATATTTAATGGCATTGGTTCCTAAGCCTATCAACTTGAACTGTGGCTTTGCCCTGCCATGACTGACGAATGGAGAGAGTGTTTGTCAGTGAAGGGATGAAAGGATGGTGAGAATGTGAAGTGCTGTTTGACTCACATTCTGTGGGTTTGTGCAGTTTATCATCGCTTTTTCTAGCAGGAAGACCCAGCAACAGATGTCCCAACTTCCATGCTGTGCTGTGAGGAATTCTCAGAAAACACCACGTCCAAACACATACTGTACTTGTGGCTCTGCAGAAGAAGCCACGCAGGGGGGGTTCCTGGTGGTGTAGAGGATGAAGACACTGATTGTGTAGCGAAAGTCATCCTCCCCTCTCTCCCTTATTTACATTAAAATCTCTATTATCCATTATGTGGTGATCTTAATTTCTAAATTCAGTTGAGCAGTGTTAGGATTGTTTGTTATTTGAAATGATCAGCTGGATCTTTCTTTTAGCTTTTATTTGAACCTGTGACGCTATGGAAAGATACGACATGTGAGGGAGAGTTGTTTGTTGTTCTATTTCTATTTAAGCTGCATTTTGCATGTGAAGTGTTTTATTTGACTTGTTGCTTCATGCTGAAAATGCATCTGTGCGTTTTTGGAAAAACTGCAAAATCAAATGCATTGGCTAAAGGGTAGACCATACATTGGGAGGACCTTATTCAAACTGTACTCTGTGAACTTTTAAAATGAAGGAGAACATTTTTTGTGTTTGAGCAATGATGCATGACGTTCAGATGATGTGTATGTATATCTTCCTTTCAGACAGCACACAAGTGTTGGCATTCAGGTTTTGTTATTTTCCTGGTATCAGTATCAGTTGAATATCTATAAACTTTGAATCTGACTGTGCTTTTAACAGAGAAAAGTGTCCTACTCCGGGTGGCTCAGCACCGTTCCAGTTCCCCTGAGATGGAAATGCTTTCCCCGACATCTAGTGGGGGAATCTAGGTTAATACTGCCCCATATTGAATCTGTCTCTCTGCCCCCAGAGAGCAAATGCACTTTTAGCAGCTTCTATTGTGCCAAGATTCCCCTCCCTTGGTCCTGCAAAATGTTTTTGTCCTGAGTAACTTCACAGCTGTAAGTTGCCCTTTATGTCTAAAAACAGTTTCCTTTCTCTCAGAATGTCACTTTGTCACTTGCCAACATTTTCATTTTATGACTGTATCATTAAACTTAAAAAAACGGCACACAGTGTGACATATGCTGTAGGCTCCAAGACATACAAAGAAAGGTGTTTAAAGCTTTTATCCAAATGCAAACATTGTTTTTACAGACACCACACTTCACAAGCAACATTACATCACTGTGAGATGCAATCTCACCGTAACTGTTTTAATATTAGCTGATGCCAGGGCTGTAACACCCTGTAATATCTGGAGACAGACGTCCTTTTGTGGCGGTCTCACATTAATCTTGGGAAGCAGCTTCTTCTTTTCTCATTACAGCTGTGAGACAAAGACAAGCTGTTTTCAAGACCTCGGAAACTCGTTTAAATTCATGACTCAGGTGTAATATTTTACGATATTTCATGTTGATTGCAGTGTGATTATAATGCCAGTGATATCCTGTCTCTAAATGGACTAAGGAGCCTTTTTACCACTGTATTATAAAGGTGTTGTGTATACCTTTTCTATTTTTTTTTTCCCTCTCAAGTGAAGCATCCTGTTAGACTTCCTAGGCCAGTCTAAACTAGGTTGTGTAAATATGAAATGTTATTTGGACGCAGCAGTAAGTGACTTCAGACACTGATGTTGGTAATAATCATTTAAGTGTTGCTGTCGCCCTTTAAATTAACAAACGTTTCCTGCAGTTTGTCACATCAGCTTTCACTAATTAAACTTGGCAGCTGTTGGTTGTGTGCTCTCTGCACACTGTTGTCGGTGTTCGTCAAAGATAGTTTGTGAGAGAAGAACTGCAACTCTAACACCATTGTACAAGCAGGAGGGATTTAAGTGATCACAACAAATCCACAGAGTGAGACTTCTTTTTTCTTGAAGATCATATGATATCACTGTCAGAGATTTCATTCTCCCAACCAAGCTTTCATTCATTTCACTTCAGTAATTTACACTTGAGAGATCACCATGAGATTTGGTATTTGGATCAAGAAGCCCTTGAATGGGGCAGATATGGACGTCACTGATAATATAACAAGAATTATTCTGAAGACGTTGCATTATCTTCAGATGATATATTATGACAGATTATTATTGTTTTTTAAATCCACGATGCTTACACATATTTATATTTTAACATCTTGCCACAACCTTTGTCAAATCTATTCTGAAGGTCGATAATATATATATATGTTGTGTGTTCCTAACCTCATCCTCTTACTTACATGCAAATGTCACACATACAAATTTAGGGTTTGCAATATACCCCGTGACCCCTTGACGTTTGTTCTTAGTCTGCTGGGTATGGTGTGTGTATTTATAGAGCAGGTTTAACACCAAAGTCCACTGCTCTTCTTTTCACAGAGTAAGTTACTGCTGGAGCTTTCTCACGGTAGCTGGCGCCTCTGCAATCAATATCCACCTCTCACTCATCTCTAGCTGAACGTATGGAGCTGCTGCTTGTGTAAAAGCTTCCAATTTTACTTGGGACCCTGTGTTTTTACTTAGTAGCTACAGTTTTTTTTTTCTAAGGACCCCCAAACTGGGATCAAATATTCTACAAATTACCTTTTACATCATTTGCTTCAAATCTGACTGGCTGAGTCTGTAGAGAGATTTTGTAATGTATACAATCCCAGAAAATGATTGGCACTGTGAGGCACACGGCCCACGTCAAATGCTTATAATCTTCAGTTTCAAGGGATAAGCTGCAGTGTCTGTGTTGCGTTTATAGCAGCATTGTTGTAGGTTTCTGACATACTTTTATCAGAGTTTTATTATGAAAGAGGTGTTACTGAGAGGCTTGATTACGTCATGGTTTTAACATCATCCTGTTAAAGCCCTCGTTGGAGGGTCATGTTGCTGCTCTGCGCAGACTGAAGCAGCTTGGCTCCAATTTTTGGCATCTGGCTACTGATGTTTACATGTCATGGCATTTCATTGGCTTCAAACAAATGAGTTAATTACTGTTAATGCAGCGACACAATGTTTTTGATTTAGAGAATGAGCACTCAAGTGGCAGCGTTATATTTATGAGTCTATGTGTCTCTCTGTGGAGTTGTCAGGTAAGGGGTCGACACTGCGTTAAATTGCACTTAAAGGAAACTTGTGGTCAAACGTAGCCGTCCTTGCCAAGCAGCTTCAAGAAACCAAGCATCGACTTAACCTTTAATAAAGACCTTGAATCTCGCATGGACAGCTTCCATGCAATGGGATCAATGTCTTAAATTGATACTCTGCAAATATACAACGATCACCACCTGCATGTGAAAGGTGGCTTGAAAAGGGTTGTAGCTTTGGCTCACTTTGAAAGTGGCCATAAACAGTTTGGTTTTCTCATGGTATCACTCAGAAAACAGTCATTGAAACATCTTCAGCTTTTACTCTCCACTCCTCATCTCTCTTTGTATTTGTCTCCTTTCCTCCAGCCTCTGCTTTTGCTCTTTTGTACTCAGACAAACACGTCCAGGTCTGATCTTTCTACCAAATGCACACAGATGAAATTAATATTGATCTTCTAATCTTTCTCCCAGTATGTGAGCCAACAAGTGTGTTTTTCTAAAATGTCAGAGAATTCCTTTTAATGCCAGGTGATGTTGCTTTTGTTGTTGCAGCACTACCAAGAGTTTTTCCTGCACACATTTAGTTTTGACATTCAGGCCTCTTTAGTGATTGATCATTGCCATCCAATCTCATCCAATCATGTTGATTATTTTCAGCCACAGCCAACACAACTGCCGATGGATATCTGGCTGCTTCAATAACCTTTGTGTAAACTAGAGACATAGTGTTTGGATTTCGTTGACTTGTATTTCCTTTATTAAAACAGATGTTAAGATTTAAAGAATATCTTCCACCAAGGTGCAGAAGAATAGTCACATGTATGCCTTTGTTTTTCTGTGGTCAACATTTTCATTTCTGTGCTTACCACCTGGGCGGGTGGGGACCATATCTACTCCATCCAGATAGATGCAGTGAAGTGGACTGGTGGTCGATCTGATTGGATTCTCAGTCTTTTTCCTGTCCTGGGTTGATAACACTGTGCTTTAGTGAACAGGCATCTCTGTCAGGGGGATGAAAACTTAATTGAATGCTATTGATGTTTAAGTGTTCGATTAACTCCCATGAGTGGAGTGACAGAGAATAGACATGAGAGGGTGAGCATGAAAGTGAGCAAGTGAATGGAGCAAACAGAAACTTGGGTTTAGAAGAATGTAGAATTGTGGGCTCTAATTTAGGAAGAAGAATATTGTAAATGTTCATTATGTTTACCACAAAATACCTTTTTTGTCACAGTAAAAATGGCTCAGGCAGTGCTTTATAAAAAGCTGTGGATATAATTAATGTACAGCAGTACATTACAGTAAAGGCCAGTGTGACATTTACTGATGTGGCTCCTCAGGCTGCACAAACTTGTTCAGGTAAATGTAAAACACATAGTTGTTTTATACTTAAAGTTACAACAATTTTTATTCCTTTATTTCAACTTCATAAATATCTGTCATTATGTGTTTTTGTCTTTATTTTGTGCCATCATTAGTGTCCTGAACAAAGTACAGGGACGGCATTTACTGTTGGGCTCATTTAGCTGGATCCCATTCAACAGTTGTTGTTAGTTTTATTTGATTTAACTCAAAGAGCCAAACCTTATTTGAAAGACAGCAGGACTGTGAGGGCATGTCATGTCTGGAACACATTTGAGTGTAGTTAATAGTTAGTGCCCAAGACCCAGTGCCATTCCTGTAAAGTCTAAACTTGTGTCTGTGTCTCAAGCTTCTAATTTTCCTGCATCCATGCAGGGAGTTTATGGTCTGTTTTCTCTTGGATTGGAGTTGAGGTGGGGAGCTTTCCTTAATCAAGGGCCCTTTAATTTTATAACGTCTGTCTTGGGCCATGTTGAATAACTGAACACATCTATCTCACTCACCTCTCTAATGCTATGGCTGGAACTGCTGGTTTTAGCCAAAACAAGTTGCTCAGAAAACATCTCAGTTTTGGTAGTGCCATGTAACGCTCACAAATAGTAGTTCTAGTAGTTCATTCCTAGTATCAAACTCAGTGCTAACAATGATCACTTGGTTGCTATTTTGACTGTAATTCATTTATGTGATTGTTCTTATACACAACGCAACAATGGACAATGAGATGAAAATATGTATCGGTCTATATATAATATATTCATCCTTACAAACTACAAATATATCTGCAATTCATATCAAAGATTTGTAGCGGAAAGATTAGCCAAAAAACCATTAGCCATTAGTTAGTATCTGTTTTGCCAAAGTTTGTCACCACTTGTCTCAGTTGAAGCACATGCCCTTCGTATTGTTTTCCTTAAATGAGCCAGAGACACAACTGTAAATCAGTGGGAAGGTTCTGGCCTGGACTCCTGTGAGTCACTCTTGGCTCTCTGCAGGGAAAGTTGGCGAGCCTGACGGTTCTCTGATGTAAATGTGACTTGGTTGTATGCTTGGAGTGAAGCACACAGAGCACTGGTTATGTAATATGCATGTGGCAGTGTTTCACCCACCCATAGCTGTATAGATTTCAGTTTGCTGAGCCGGTGTGGCTAATTGTTCCCTCTCTGAGTTTAATTTGGCTCCTTTGCAGAAGCTACAAGAATAATTTAAAAGTAAAAGACAGCACCACAGGTTTCTACACTAAATGGTAGTTTTGCACACTGACTCTTTTGAGCCAATGCAGTGAACTTTTCCTCTAGTCATGTATTGAATGGAAGGTTTCTACGTGGCATGTGGTTCATCTCTTATAAACAGTTACTTAAATCTGGTCTCAGTGAGGAAATGTAGGACAGTGTGTGTATCATCCAAACCATGCCACACTGGGTCATAGTGTCTTCCTTCAGTTTTCTCTCTTTTTACCTGCACACATTGTACATTTTATCATTCTTGTATGTGTTTCATGTCATATAAATCTGTCTTCTGTTTTTTCGATGATGCCTTGCCCTCTGACACTGTCCTAAATTACCCTTTCCTCCTCTCTTATCCATGTCTTTATGTTTTCCTCTCGTGGCTGTCTCCGTTTGGCTCCGTCTCCTCTGCACCGCCTCTCCCCTTTGTCCCTCAAACGCCGTCAGCTCTGGGACTCTCTCTCAGTTCACTTCTTATTTACGTTTGACATACTCAAGTGTTATGGCTTCCTCCTTTTCTTAGTGATAGGATTTAAAAGCACAGATTCCTCCATGATACCCAACCCATTTTTCACTTGTCGGCTTCCTGTTAGGTCATCAGCTGGGGTGTTTTCCACAGAGAAGTTTTTTTACTACAATTCTATTTCATTACATATTGGTCTAGTCTAGTGACAGAAATACAGTTACAGCATCTGATGGGAGTGTTTAATTTGTGTGTTGTGTATTAGGGATAAATATGTTTTTGTGCATGCTGTTGTATGATATGTGCATTTATTTAGTTTTGGTTTTGGATTTGTTGCTTATCACACACACCAGCTGTTGGAGAATGCATTGTTCTTTGCACTGGCAGGATTAAGAGGCATTTCAAGGGAAAACAAAAGTCCAGAATGGGATGTTGAAATCACAATTAATTTAGCAGTTACAATTTAATACGGACATTATACTGTCACGCAGGAGTCGGATACCTCCAGTCCTTCTGGATACTGCACCAAGGTGTGTATTTGTTTAGCGTTAGCATGGCAGTAATCCATTACGTGATGCTGTGTCTTAGTGTCTCATTGTTTGGATATGGTTATTTGTAACCATTTCTGTTGACTTAATAAACACACAATGAATAGAATCCTGTTTCTTACCACGCAATATCATTTCACATGCTTCCAGCTATACTGTTACTCCCACGGATGTTTTTTTCATTTGTCTGGATCCATGATCGTTCAAGTCGTTCTTTTGCCCAAAATCTCTAGTAGCTGGTGACTAGCTGCAACTATCTGGGGGTGGTGTGTGTGCAGGTGGCAAACAGATTATGCACTTGGCCCAGAGTGACGTCAGCGGCTCCCTTAGGACTGAGACTGGGTGGGGTCCCGCTCTCCCTAGCATAGTGGTGTGAACAGGAGGAGCATGGGAAGAGGAGACACCGGGAGTAAGGTGGTTAGCCTGTTTGTACTGTGTCAGTAGAAGTAAAATCTTTCTCCTGCTTTTGTCCCTCTGCAGGTGAGACAGGCTGCACCCACAAAGGCTCCTGGATGCAGTGTCTCCTGCAGCTCAGGTGAAAGGTAAGATGAGCTTTCACCTGTTGGTCCTCCATTTAATGTCTTAATAATGCATATGCTTAATTAAATGGGTTAGCTGTCTGCAAGCTTCAGTTAATAAAAAGGCTTGTGCCTCTCATATGCTAGAGTTAAAGGTTAAGATTTGATTTGAAGACCTGTTTTCTTACACGTGTCAGTCTAATTTCAAACTGACATAAATATGAGCACATTTTCACCTAGAGGTGCCAGGAGGCATAAGAATTAGAGCACGTCTCTTAAGGTGTAGAATAGAGGTACTTTGTGTTTATGCCAGGTTTTATTACATTTTAAAACAGCTTTTTACAGCTGTTTGATTCAGTGCTGCACCACAAGGCTGTTTTAGTGTCTTCTGCGTGTCCATGTGAGCAGTTGTGTGCTGATGTTCAGGGTACAGCGCAGCATTGAAAGGAGGGGAACGGTTTGACGGAACTCTGCTGCTTACAGGGTGTGTCAGGTTCATTTGGGTTAGAAGGGAGTAAATGTTTGAGGTTGCACAAGGACAGTTGGCTACAGAATGATACTTCAGAGAGATCCTCAAAGCTCTAAAACCGGCAGTTTGCCTGGAGTATGTGCTGATCTTTTATACAGTGGCAGAAAAAGTGTAATGACTAGTTGCTGTTCCTTTTTTCAGCCCACCATCCTTATTACGCCGTGCGTTTTGGTCTCTGCTGGAAGGATAAGTGGACCAGTCTTTTTTTGTATGTCGGCCAGTACTAGACCGTCAGCTGTTCAGCACATCTGTCCATTGGGCGTAAAGATGGAAACTTAGTCAGATGAATTTATCCTTCTTACTGTTGGTGTGGAGGAATCACAGTGACAGAGTTATCTAACAGTCTCTTCTTTTGGTATTACCTTGTGCTAACGTCAGTTGGAACCTTGACTTCTCAATTCCTTATAACTTTGAGATGGTAGCAGCAGGCTGTACTGTGGCAGTAGTAGAAATACAAAGCACCACTTGCCTGCTTGTATCACTCAGGAAGTGTTTGGAATCAGCCTTGCACAAGCTGTTTATCTTGGCATGTAGGTGCAGCATGAAGACGTATGAGGTTTAACAGCAAATTACTCATTAACCAGGTAAAATGTCTCAACCTGCAGCCAGTTGCTCAAACCAAGGCTACTCGCATCAGGTTATAGTTTTCTCCCGAAGCCACGCACATTCAAACTATCTGATATACTACGATAGTAAAATATTGGTCATAAATACTTGACAGTTTATCTTTCCGTCAACTGATTGGATTAAAGGTTACATGGCCCCCTTATCTTTTTTTGCATTCCATGAATAAGCCGAATAAAAAAATAAAAAAAAAAGAATAAAAAAGTATATGCTCTGGCTCAACATAGGTCTTATTTTTCTCTTAGTGTCCGCTCTACCACATCAGCAGGGAATCACTCTGGCTTGGCTTTGTTTGTGTCAGCTATTCAACCCTAAGAGTTGCTGCACACACAAAACATCACCTGTATGTCTCTTCCTTTGTCTCGCGCATCTGCAAGACTTCAGTTTTTCTTCTACACTGAAATGTGAAATATTTAGTGACCAAATGAAGGCTGAAAGCTTGACTTCCTAGGCTGTACTAAGGAATAACAATATAAATAGAGATAGAAATTATGTTTAATAGCAGGACGGCTCTCCCTTCTATGTTTTGTTTTTTCTATTTCTAATACTTACCATTTGATACATGATATAGGATAATAAAAGAATTATTTATTAGCTCTACAACAAGGACATTTCCTTCTTAGATAAGAAGTAATAAACAACATAAACATTAGGAAATATGCAATAACAAAATTGTAAACATGAGAAGTATAAAAATAGCAATAAAATATATAATACATTACTCAATCTAAGATGGAATAATGGGATCTATGGGTCATACCCTATATTAGCTTAGGTCCATATGGTCTTACACAATGTTAGCCTGGAGCCAGTTCATGAAATAGTATTCATACATTCAGAGCCTGTGCACTAATCCAAATCGGTTGTTAGGCAGAATACATTATGGGGAATGTTAGTGATGCTGAATATTACCTAGAGTAAAGTAGAACTCCATTCACAGAAAATAGAGTACCCAGCTTTCTCTTTTGATCAGAAAAGCAAATCGTATTTTAATAAGGTCAGGACTGAGGGAGCCAGAGCGATATTTATGTTTATGTATTGTGTTCCTGATGGTTGGAGAGTGTCTCTCACTGTGTATTAGTGAAACGTGAAAACCAATCAGGACTGTGAGTTGAGTGTTTGATTACCACTCTGATCAGGATAAGTCAAAGTTTCTATCGGTGAAAACCCCAGGAGCTGCTGTCGGCTTCTATAAAAGTCCCTGTCAAAGTGGGGTCGATGAGGGGACACAGAGAGGGCAGGTGACAGACAGGGAAAGGGGGAGGATGGACAGGCTATGTTGATCTGTTGACCTAAACTTTTAATTAGCATTGCTTGCAGACAGACAGTGCCACAGATTTCATATCATATGCTTGTTTTTTTACTTCTGTTAAACATAATAAGTCCTTATGAATGCTTATAATATATGGTAACAATATGAAATAGATTAGAAAAACATAAAACATGCACACCTCAAGTCTAAAACATGCCTCAGGTCAAATTTAAACTGACAACCTTTCACTTTTTAGCTCAGTTTTCTCCTTTTTAGTTAGACGTGTATATATATTGTTATTTTTAAGGTATGTTGGGCTGTTCAGAAAAAGCTTAATTCAGTATTTGGTTGTGGTTGATGTGTGGCTTTAAGGAAATATTATATGAATTAAAATCTGCTTCAAAGTGCTAACAGACTCCTGATGTTGAGAGGCAGTATAACTTCACCTTCATACCAGTAATTCCATTAAAAATCACATTGCTCTGTGCATTTTTTAATGATATAAATGGTGGCTGTTTTAATGAAGATAAAATGCTGGAGAACAATGAGCTGATTTCACATAGACAGGATTGGAAGTGGAGAACAGTAGAGTTCAGTCATTAGATCTTCAGAAGATGTCTAGCCGCATTACATTACGTTCATTTAGCTCCTTTAGCAGGCTTGTGACGAGACTATCAAGTGGCGGCTGGGACAAAGAGCAGAACTTGCACTCTTAGCAGGTTGACCCAATTACTTCCCATTAAATGCTTTACACATCAAGTCTCGCTGTGGCAATTCATCCCGGGTATGAGAGCCCCCAGCAGTCCGCTGCAGAGCCAACTTTTTGTTTTTAACGAGTTTCTTTATCCAGGATAAGAGAGGCAGGCAGTTGGTGGAGCTTGTGTGAATCTGACCTGTTCCCTCTCTCACCACTCCTCACTGGGATGGAGACCCATGCTGAGATCGCAGGTGGGAGGTGGGGGTGTCACCTCGTGGATGACCAGTTTCCTAGAGGTGATTGTAGTCAGTGCAGTTATAAGTTTGGGTAAATTGCATCTGTCTGCCCGTGCTGCAGTGACAAACAGCTGGAGGCTCTGAGGTTGGACTCTAAAAAGCATTTCAGCTCTATTTAATAATGACATGTCTGATTAGTTTTTGAAAGAGTGAAAGCTTTAAGGTTTTGTTCAGGGGGTGACGTGTTTTGCCGTTACAGGAAACTTCAAAGAAGGTTTTAAGTTTTCTTTTGAATAAAAAAACTAGCTTTTCTATAACCTAATCTGAAAATAAAGCAGAAATATAGATGTTATCTCTACCTAGCCGCCAACATCCACTAACCTTGTGTTAAAATTCACGTGTGTATGTATAATAGCTAAGACTTGGATACATTTCAAAACTAGGACCGCATGATTTCTATTCCAATTTGAACAGTGTGCAGGACGACTGACAGACAAAGTTGTCTGGGAAATGTATGTCAAATTAAAGAAGTCATAATTTGTAAATATGTGGCAGCTGGTCATTGATTAAATGGGATATTACAGCCTGAAGAGTCTGTAATGGGCATCAACCCCCTGTCTCCCACTGGGCTGCTCTTTGCTTTAGCATCATTAATTAAAATCATTTATCCGACACCTTGTCATCTATTATCCTTTGCTTAATGACCCTCTGTCTGTCCAGTCAGGATAGGAAGCCTCTCGGCCTCTGCTGGCAGACATCTTCCTCCCAATCCCTCACACCGCCTGTCTCTCTCGCAGACAGCCCCTGCCCTCTCCTCACTCGTTACCCTAAGGACCACACTTTATCCAGTCTCTAACCTGTGTTGGTCTAATCAGACACAAACTCATTTTCTCTTCCTTTCTTCTATATCTGTTGCTCTTTCTCTGCACACACTGCAGCTTATTATTTCCCTCTCTGCCACAGAGCTTTTCAGCTCTATGAAAAAGCCTTGTCAGGGTGGAACAGAGCCTTTAAAACACTGCTGTGCCTTGAAGTGGAGCAGAGAATCCAATTTGCATAGCCCTTATGTATAATTCAAAGTGCAATATGATGAATAAAACTGGCTGATACGTTGCTTTTTTGCCTTGACTTTTTCAGCTTTGGGAGTGGACATGCAGTAGTGGCATTTGAGCTTAAATCTCTTATATTCAACAACATGCTGAATGCTGCTATGATGCTATGTTCTCAAACATACACAGTAAATAAATAAAAAAATGGACCGTCACAGTGGGTATTGCCATGGTGGGGCTACATTTTTAATAAAATACGATACTCATAATGCAAAAATAATTAGAATTGTTGGTCACCTGTGTTGGTCTAATCAGACACAAGCTCAAAATATTCAGCCTTGCATTTCTAATTGGTCTTCAGCGTCGTCAAATGAGATAACAAACATGCTGGTTTGTCCTTTCAGCTACAACAAATGAACTTGATGGCGGGTCTGAATCAAACATGACTGTCAGTGTGTGGCCTCTCTGCATGCCATTGTTCGTAAAGATAGATAGAAAAGAACTACCACTGTACAACTAGGAGTGAACAGAGCGTTTTTGCAGTTCCAAAACCTTGATTAAAACAGGACTATGTCTATGTTAGTTATAGATGTGCTCAACATCTAACCTTGCAGCCCTTTAGGCTGGAATGATAGTT